TGGAGGAGGATTCAGAAAGCAACAATAGCTCTTCCTTTAAAAGATGTTTTATGAGAGATGACTGGTCCACTCCTTCAGTTGAATTAAATATAGAAGCAGCTGTTTTAAAAACCATACTGGGATGCTGATTGACAGCTACAGTGTCTCAAGGGCAACATTGGTCTGCAAGACCCAGAGGGTACAAACACCTATTGTGCAAGGATGCCTGTGTTCTGTATAAGAGGCCAAAACTTTATGATGGGCTCAGGGTTGGGTTTGCTGTAGTGAGCTGAGCCAGTGGCAAACAGTGAGATTTAGAATTATGCTGTCCCTGTACAATATGACAATTATCATCATGCACCCAAGGCAGATGTGGAATTCCTCTAAAGGTCAGTTAATCATTCTCTGTCCACTCCCATTCACTCACTGACAAGTTACAGAAAACCATCAATTGGGCACTTTTGACCTGGGGTTTACTCAGTCATCCAGCAACCTGAGTAAGGCCCAGCTAGTCAATTCAGGTTAATCCAACCTCATTTTCGTTGCCCATTCCGGATCCAAGAGAATAGAAAAACTAAGAATGGCAAAGACTATGTTCTTCTAGAGCAATCTTCCCCAACCTGGAACCCTCCAGATGTTTTAAACTACAGTATCATTTAGACTCCTGACCATTGGGCATGAGGGTTGAGGCTGATGGGAGCTGTAGTCAAAAAGATCTGAAGGGTACCAGGTTGGAGGTGGCTGTTCTAAAGTGTTTGCAGCCTCATTTTCTGAACAAACTCAGTGTTTGCACTGTATTGCTCCTCAGTATTAAGTGGCAGGAAAAGGAAGCCGCTCATTCATAGACTAAATTGCTTGGAAATGTGCATTGGTCACTGTACATGGTAGAGACCAATGGTGTTCCTGAGCTAAAAGATAACAAAAGATTCATGAGCTGACCTACATTTGGAATGGAATACTGCAACATTTGGACAGCACAGTAGATTTACCATAGACTTTGTCTTCTTTGGGATCTTAATTGCATTGATGCAATGAAAAATGAGGTTACATACCACAAAGTGTATGCCTGGAATAGTTAATAAGAAAATTAAGAGCTATAAAGGACTGAATGGTTCGGCCATTTACATCCAAACTAACACTGTGCAACTGGTAAAACTTCTGATTTCTTTCAATCAGATGTTGGGGCTATCTCATGAGAGTGGACCGGTGCCTTTGTAAAATCTGACCATAGCTTTTGAGGGCATGCAGCTGCTTTGCTCAAAAGACATGGTGTTTTTGTTACTGGTTAGGCAAAACTGCACTGTCTTCATCCTTTCCAATGAGTGCTTAGCATGCTTCAGGAGCATTTTTTGAAATGACTGTAATGATCAGCACAGCTAACCACTAGAATCCTGCTCACAGGAACATGTCTAGAAAAATTGCATATAACAACAACCAGCTCTGGCAAACAGAACTTTACTACGTGTGTGCTCATTTTCAATTTCTCAAGAATAAATCCTGCCAGACTAATCTAATCTGATTGTTTAACTGGGTAACCTCCCAAATGGACAAACACCATGGGCTTAATCTACCTTGACTTTAGCAAAGCTTTCAGCATAGTGCCCCACAACATCCTGATAAACAAGCTAGCAAAAAGTGGACTAGATAGAACAACTATTAGATGAATCCAAAATTGACTACGAAATTGGATACAAAGAGTGCTCATCAATGGCACCTTCTCAAACTGGAGAAAGGTAACTAGTGGGGTGCCCCAGGGTTCAGTCCTGGTCCCAGTGCTCTTCAACATGTTATTAATTATCTAGATGAAGTACAAGGAACAATAATCAGATCTGCAGACAATACAAAACTGGATAGAACAGCTAACACCCTAGAAGACAGGAAGAAGACCAAGGGCAATCTAGATAAGCTTGAACACTGGGCTGAAAGCTACAGAATGAAATTCAGTAGGGACAAATGCCAAGTCTTCTATCTAGGAAAAAGAAACCAAATGCATTGATACAAGATGCAAAATATGTAGCTCAACAGAACTGAAAAGGAAAAAAGATATTGCAGTTATTATGGACAACAAGCTAAATATGAGCCAACAATGTAATCTAGCTGCAAAAAGGGCAAATGTTATTTTGGGATGCATTAATAGAAGTATCACTTCCAAATCATGAGAAGTACTAGTTCACCTATACTCTATGCTACTCGAACCTCATGTAGAATACTGTTCTGGGCACCAAAATTTAAGAAAGATGCAGAAAAATTGGAATGGGTTCAGAAGAGACCAACATGATCAAATGTTTGAGGGGGCAAAGCCTTGTGAGGAGAGATTGAGAGAACAGGGAATGCTCAGCCTTGAGAAAAGAAGACTGAGGGGGAATATGATGGCACTCCACAAGTACCTGAAACGCTGTCACAGAGAGGTAGGACAAGATTTCTTCTTGCTCATCCCAGAGTGTAGGACATGGAATAATGAACTCAAGTTGCAGCAAACCAGATTCAGGCTAGAGATCAGGAAAAGTTTCCTCACTGTCAGAACAATGCAACAGTAGAATCAGTTGCTTAGAGAGGTCATGGTCTCTCCCACACTAGAGACATTCAGAATGAAACTGGACAGCCATCTTGGGATGGTGTAAATTGGTGTCCTGCAACAGCAGAGGGTTGGACCCACTGGCCTTCTTGGTCCCTTCCAACTCTGCTATTCTATGACTCTATAATTTTGAGAAAACACATGAGCTCTTGGGCTAATAAAGTAGAAGATAAGTTTAATAATAAACAAACAAACAGAACTTTGCACCAGATTCAGCCCTTGAGACTAATGCTGCTTTCATCTACAAACCTTAACCAACTGATATTTTGATAAAACTGGGATTCATAATTTGATTTTTCAAAGGACCAAAAAATCTGGGGTGAATTGGTACAGTGGAGTAGCCAGCCTCTTTGGGGGAGCAAGCAGTGGACGATTCACTCAAATTTGACAACATACAACGAAATCTATGAACTAGACACAGTATTGAAAAGTATGCATGTGTGAACTGGCATCTATTATAAGAATGCCACACACAGAATTAGGTTTGTTGTTGTTGTTTCATCTCGTAAGAGATGTCTTGGCAAGTCTTGCATCAGAAAACCGACAACTAGCTAGGTCATTCATGCTAGCATTTGGGGCAGTTGGACATTCTATAATACTACAGGCCAATTGGATTGTCACTGTAAGACAGCTAAAATGTTTTATTTTAGCTTCCATATCAGTAAGAAATGAGCTGCCCAAGTTTACCCATCATTATTGAGGAGGCTCAGAGAGCTGCTGATGCAGTGACAGAAGGCAAATGATCATTATGACTATTTTTAAGACATGCATATGGAAAGGCAACCCCTCACATAAAAATAACCTTGAGTGATTGTGAGAGCCTGTAACAGTGATTCTGAAGAGCCAGAAGGAAGCAATGGTAAGACAAAAGGTCTAGGCAATATTTCACTTTTTCCAAAAAGAAGAGACAGAACTCACTATCAGAAATTGGTCATTGCTGGATTAATGCCTAAAGAAAATCCTGAAATTATTGACAACTAACTTTCTGGATAATGAAGCAGCAAATGCAAGGAAAGGGGCACAAGGATGGAGTTATTTTCTAAGACTGCAGTTCTACGCTGTTACATGCTCTCCAGCACAACCAGGATTGGGACCTAAAGGCCTACTTTCTCCTCCCTTCCATTCATCAACCCACTTGCCCTATCTTCACCCCAAACATTGATGCTTGATCACAGAAAGGGTGACAACTTAAGGGCTCTCTTTGAAGCCCCCCAGGCCTGATTTTCAAAGAGAAGCCACTGGAGCCATGCAGCTGTTCAGGTGTGGATTGAGTCCTGCCTTCCCCATCCAGGTGCTCTCCAGATATGAGATAACCTCCACAAGGGCCATGCTGATGGGGCATTGTGGGAGTTTTAGTCCAAAAGACTTGGAGGGCAGCTAGTTGGGGAAGGCTGCCTAAAGGTACAATCCTGTGCAAGTTAAGACAGGAAGAAAGAGCCTTTTTTCCAGGGGTTATAGGCTTTTTTTCTGTCCAGCTTGTACCCTTAGCTGCTTAGTTTCCTAGGAACAGAGTTGTTCATAATTAGAAATGCTTTGCAACTCTGAGGCTGAATAGAGCTGCATCATTTCCTTGTTTTCTCCAAACTCCTGGTCAAGGCAACTGCCTTGACAATAGCTTTGACTTATCCCTCTCTCCATGTGCCTCTCACTGTCAGCCAGGAGCCAAATATTATCAAACTGTGTGTCACAACCAGGAATGTCAAAATACAATTAACATTTTGAAAAAAGCAGCTCGGTGCAGCCAACGCAGTGCCACTGAATGGCATTTTGTCTCCCCAGCAGAGACCTGTGTGTGACAATCAGAGAAGGAATTGTGTTTGGCTTCCAAAGTGACTGGCAAGGGGAGGAGAGAAAAGATTGCATGCACGGCACTAACCATCAAGTACATTCGCTTCATTAGGACCAGCTCTAGCAGTCTGAGTAGGAATGCCTTAAGATCGCATTTGTCCTTCACTCTGCAGACTGTGTTTGTCTCCTCCAATGTTTGCAGCAAACTGCAGACATTTATCAAATAATGCAAAAAAGCTTGCCAAAGAAGGCTGTGAGGAATCTGATTTTTCAGACAGCTGATCAGGGCTGGGGGAGGCAGTGAGGAGGAGATGGGATGAAATACTCAAAGATAATTCAGTCCCGTCAGCAAAGGCTTGCTATAAGCAGTGCATAATGCAATATTTATCATTCACAGAAATCGATACAGCTTCATCATAGACAAATAAGAAGGATTTGAACAAATCACCTCTTGCCCTCATCACATGAAGGAAGGGAGCAGGCACTAGAAGACGAGATGGTTTGGTCAAGGGGCTTCGGAATATTAGCAACAACTTTCCTGCAGTGCTGAATACACAGCCAAAATGGTTTTCAGCAATGCAGTAACATCCACTTGCTCAGGAAAGAGTCTGTCTTACTGATTCAAGAGAATTATGTTAGATTAGAATAGACCACTTACCTGGAGATCTGTCTGCAGTGCACAGGAAAATAATTCTGACATCCTTGTTACTATGAGCTGTCACCCATATGCTTTGAAAAAACACAAGGCCTGAGCACCACTTGGTTCATGCTCAACATCTTTATTTAGGCTGTGGGTGAGAAAAAAGACCTGGGATCACAGCACTGAAGTGCTCCAGTCGCGGGCGTCGTCGAAACAGGACCTTGGGGCAAAAACTAAGGCTGCTCTCAGCAGAATAAGCAAGAAGGCTTTCAGATCCAATGAGGGAGGCTTGCCACATTTTGGTGAAATAATATAGATCACCATATTATGAGAGAGCTCCCCACCCACCCACACCCATAAGACTATCAGTTCCAGAGTCTGAGAGTCCTTTGGCACTTGACCCAGTGAATTATGTAGATGGCCCCACTGCCCTGTTATAAGCTATCCTTTATCTAAAGCATTTTGGACAGATTCAGGTCCAACCTTTTCTTAAAAGCCTCCACAGTAGACAGTTGCACAGTTTCCCTGGAAATCCTGTGCCATCAGTGAATTTCTACTGTAGTTAGAATGCAATTTCTCTCCCTCTAAATTTTAAGGTAAATCTAAATCTACCCCCTTGTAGTTTAAAATCTACCCTTTCGGCCAGGATCCAGCTAAAGTACCTTACATCTAAATGTTTTCAGTGGGAGACAGTTGCATATATCTAATTCTCTCACTGAAATCAGGGGTAGCACATTTCTGAACACCAGATGCTAGGGACAAATGACAGAGGGAGACCAGCAACATTATGCTTTGCTTATAAGCAGCCGGAAGCAAGTGGCTGGTCATTGTTGAAAACAGAATGCTGGATTAGATGAACCTTAGCCTGACCCAGCAAGGCAATTTGTACAATGGGCTGCATTTACAATAAATGAATTGAACTTAACTCCCATTGAAATCCATTGGGTGTAAGTCATGACCAACTTGTCCTATTGATTTTAATTTGATCTAAATTCAGCTAACTTAAACAGTTGGCCGTTTAAAGAGTCCGTCACTGTTTTCTTAAAGAGTCTTAAATGTGCTTAAAACTAGTTAGATCATGCCCATCATTTTCTGTTCTTATTACTCACATTGTTGCTTACGTTAGGCTAGGATAAAATGTGAAAGATAACAAGGTGCCCTCCAGATGTTATGGGCCACAGGTCCCATAAGCCTCAGCCAGCAGAGCCAATGGTCAGGAATTATGTGGGCTGTGATTTAAAGTAGCTGGAAGACACAGTTTGCCTATCCCTAGGCTGATATTTTGGCTAACTTAGTGAGCTCTACAGCTGCAAGTGGACTTGGAGCCAGGTCCTCCAAGTCTAACAATGTGACCACTACACCATGATGGCTCTCAGACCCTTAGCTTGTAGCCACTGACACTTGTCTTCTGCACAGTACGTGTCACCAGTTAATGGGACCAAATGAGAACAAGGAGAGTGTTAGAATCCAGCTATAAGAATACCACACTCTACACTACACTACACTACACTATGTAACCCACACATTATTGTCATACATTTATTCAGAGGCTGTGTTCTTAGCATTACACAAAATAGATGCGACACATTTCTCACCAGGAGATCTTACAGGTTATCAGTAGATGGGAAATTATTTCATGGCTGACAAGTAAATAGATGGGACGAGGTAGAGCAATGGTTTCCATAATAGGTTAGGGAATTCAGGAGATCATTGCGGACTTATCAAGGGTTCTCCAGCAAGGAAATCAGTAATGGCAGGCCAATTTTCTGAAGAAAACCTTACCCACCAGCACTTTTCTTCCCCTGAAAAGTGCAACCACAAGGGAGTGTTGGGTGAGTTCAAGGCTGTCCTGGCTTGGCCCTGGGAAAGCAGCAGGTCAATCAAGCACCTGAAGCTCTGGTAGCAGGAGGCTATGACTGGCAATGCCAGTAAGCAGGAACCCAGCAAGACTAATAGGCTGTTGGCTAGTGTTCTTTAAGAGCTGCTAAGCGGGGTTAGTACATCATAAAATGAGCTTCTATTCTAGCAATAGACAAGAGGCAAAACGTAAGCTGGTCAGCATGGATCTCTCAAAGCTCCATCTCCTATGAGGTACTAACAGCAGCCTTAGAGGGCATGTGCTCATTTCCATAGTCTTGAGCTCCTATGAATCTGAGAGATCCAGTCTTTGGGAGAGTCATTTGCAGAAGCTGAGCTTTATTGGAGAACCAAGGCCTTGGGTCAGAGGGCTCCTTCCATTATTCCATTTCTGCCATGAGTTGTTGGTAGATATGATAATGTGGAAAGAATGTCACAAAGGTAGACATTTTGAAATCCTGTAGTTAAAAGACACCTGAAACCCAGATCTTCTGCCAAAACATGGTGGTGTTAATGAAGAGTCTTCTATTGTTTTCTTCAGTCAGCGATGACACAGGCTTTCTCTCATGGAGCTGATTGCACCAAAATATCCCTCATTTAATAATTGCCTCTAGATTTAGATGGCACAGAGTTATTCCCAGTAGCTCCCTTTCAGTCCCTTTTACAAGGTAGACATCCATAGATTAGTCATTCTCTTAAAGAGTCCAATTTGCTGGTGTTACTCCACCCATGAAGGTCATTTTGTTCATTGACTGGAATCATTGTAGTACAGAAGCTAAAGAGATGCCATCTGTAGATGCCTTTAGTAAAATAAACACAGACTAACACAATATTTTGTGAAGTAATGAGTCTTTACCTTTCTGTAGTTCATTTTGGGGACATGAGACCACAAATGCCAGCACATACATTTAACAAGTTGAACTTTCATCTGTAGAATGCATTTTAACAACAAAAATGATCTGACAGAAACTGAATTTCCTTCTCACTAGAGGAAAGGTGCTGGGGGTGGGCATCATTAATTCATCAAACTGAAATATCAGTAGAACTCTAACAAGCTGTAATGTCTACAGAACTAAAGCCATAAAAAGTTCACATGAGAGAAAAAGAAAGAATGTGCAAAAAATAGTAAATGCTCAAAAGTGTAAAAGCACCTTTTGTTGCATCCTGCTTCTCCACTAGTACAAAAACTCCCTGAAAGCATCACTTCTTTTAGGTACCAAAAAGCCAGAACTAAGAAAGAGGGAAGAAATGGCATTGTTCTGTTCAAAGCCCATGTTTCACAACAATGAAGACGCAGGCTTCAAAGGGCTTCTTCCCAAAGATTGGGGGAAAGGATTGCTAGGAGAGAGGGAAAAAGAACTCTTCTGTCCCATTCTCCATTAACAGAGAAGATAAAGGGAAAACAGATCTTCAGCTATTATAAATCACTCAATTTATACCTCAAAAAAGTATAATGAAATTCTCCAGCAAAATCCTGGGTGGATGTACATCAGCATACAAGAGCACTGTCAGACTTAAATGACCCCATTACCATAGCATGGAATTCACTGCATTCCAGTGTATGCCTCCTCCTAGGGACAGATAGAAATGGATAAGGTGCAGATAGCAGATGGCAGAGAGATTAACCTTGCAATCCCAAAGAGTCCATCATCCTGCAAAACCATATAAAGGACAGAGGGTATGGGGACTGAGGTTGCTCTGGCCCAAAGGCCCTTGAGTTAGATCCAGAGAAACTCCCACTGTTTACCACCTCCCTGACAGTTCCCCAACCCCCTAAAAATGCCTGCCCCAATGGGCAAGGGGAGTCCCTCCAAATTAGGAAAACACCATTTGTGTAATTCAGTACTGAGACTGGAATCCTGATATACAGGCCCAGATAAACTTCCCAGAGACAGTTCATTTGGAATTCAGTGCCACAAGATGGTGACCATTAGATGGCTTTGAGAAAGGGGGTTAAACAAATCTGTGGTGGAAGCATCTATCAGTGGCTATCAGTCATGGGGGTTGAATGGAACCCTGCTATTCAGTGTCCCTCAGGCTAGTTTTGCCTGTTGCTCAGGGCAAGGGTGGGCGAGGAAGTCAGCCCCCAAGCCTTGCTTGTGAAATCCCTGGAGGCAACTGGTTGGTCACTGTGTTGCAGATGCTGCCGCCCACCCGCTTAGCCTGGGTTCTTTGCAATGGCCATCAAAGAAGCACCCAAATAACAAACCTCATTTACTCTTCACTGGCATCTATGCATTCAGAGGGAGGGGGGTGTTTCATAGTGTCCCCTCTTGTTAATGCAACCCCTTGGTACCACATCATCCCAAGGAAGCCCTGCTAGCTGGTCTTCTATACGAAAGGAGCAATGCTGCTGTGACGTTCTGCATAGAGCAGGTTCTCAGTTGGTCACAAAAGCTAGAAGTGCCTCATTCCAGAGGAGAAGGAAGCAGTGCTGCATATAAGGTAGTGCATAATACAGATGCTTTAGAAATATGTAAAATCAGCATCAGTCACAGTGTGAGGCAGGAACAGAAGCACCGCAGGTGGATGGTGCAGGGTGTAGGTGACACCCCCTAAAATTACTCTGTACAAGGCTAAGTAGCACGTTTTGCCACGTGAAAAACTCTCCTTCATACCAGCAGCTGCTGGTTGCCAAGAATAGACGTGAAATTTCAGCAAGTCAAATGGGAAAGGATGCTTCCCCGGAAGATGTCAGATGCTGTTTGTCAGGGCTTTTATACTGTATATCACGCACCTCCTCATTATATGTCTCCTGCCTACTACTGTGCTCTGTGAAAAGGCATGGGGATGCGTAAGAAAGAATTAGCAGTGCAGAGGGGTGACACGACAGTCTCCTATTAGGCAGAGACACCTTCTGTTCCGGAGATGCTCATTGCAAACTGCTGTGCCAACATTCCGCCAAGCAAGCAAGAGGGGCCATGCAGAGAACTCCAGGGAGGCTTCATTTTCCTCGACTCCATGGCTTCCGTTACTTTGCAATGTCTGGATGCTGCCAAAGCTCATTGAAGCTTGCTGAGCAAAGGTCTCTTTGGTGGACTGTGGCACCGTCTAGTGCTGAAGCATCACCTCTTTGGCAGGATGGATGGCTGCCTCGGCCAAGCGAGCACATTGCCTGCAGCACAGAAAGGCTCTCAGCATCCACTGTGGCTGTCCTCCCCCCCTCCCAAGCCCCCTCCAGCAAAAGTTTCAATTTCAGGAAAAATCTATCAGGAAATGCTGATGCATAATCTATACTTCCCAAAGCTGGCCCAGTGAACTGATTCATATCTGTCACCAGGGAAACAGGGAGAAAAGTGGTATGAAAAGTTGCAGCTTTCTCAAGGGCAGAGGAAAGCAAAAGCCACATGGCAGAAGTGAAAACACTAAAGGTAAAAAGACTGGTGTTGAAATAGCATCTGATGAGCCATACTTGACATGTTCAAGCTGCTCCAGGATGTGTTATCTTCATGCACATGCACGTACCACATGTCTTTCAAGGCTGAGGACTTTCCTCCGTGAAATCTGGCCAAGTCCCATCTTTTCACTGCAGACAAAGCGATTAATGGGGTTACAAAACCCAGACATACCATACGGACGTTGCACAGTGGTCTTCTCCAAAGCTCTGTGGGTGTTAGTATATCAGCAACATCTGTCATGGAAAGAACGAATGGAGAGTTTTCTACAGGAACTTTTTTGGACCCACTGAAGGAAATATTTCATGCATCCAAAGATGTGGGTTTTAGTCTCTGAAAGGTTAATTAATCAGTGTGCTTGTAAGGCACTGCAAGACTCTTCATTGTTTTTGGTACAAGAGACAAACAAACATAGCCAGTGATGTCTCTTGGAATGAGCTTTGCATATGGTGGGCTGATGGACCGATGATCAGGCTCTCAGAGATGGGGGAGCAGGTGGGGGAGTCACTGAGAGTAAAAAGCAGGTGTACTGCAGTCCACAAATACACACCTTTCCTGGATACAAGCTAAATAAAAGATTATCATTTACTTTTACAGATAAAAATGAAGGGCTACTGTGCTTTGTGCGTGATGAAGCTGAAGGTGTCTTTCCTCCATGGCATCAGATGCTGCAGACCCACAACGTGAATCACAGAGGGGGAGGGTTGTGTATTGTGAATCTGTGAGAAGAGCTGCAGTGCATCCTTAGGGCTTCCTCAACAGACAGACTCACCCCCTTGACATGCAGCACACCGGTCATAAGGGCAAGCATTTTCTGATGTGAAAACAATCCCCACCTTCCTCTGGAAAAGACTGCCTCAACCTCTACCACTGCAACACCGGGATTTTATTCAAGGTACACATCACACATCTCCTCTGGCTGATTTCCACTCATTGTAACATGCATTCCCATTGCCGCATTTATTGCAAATGACAGGAGAATCACAGAGAATTTCGCGGCACCTTTCTATTCTCTGGAAGAGCTGCTACACCAAACAGGCAAAGAACTTCCTTTCGCCAACACTTCCCTCTAGTGGCAAAACCATGTATTGAAAAGAAGCAAATCTCTCCTGATGTTTTTGCCATGTCAGACCATTAGTTCATCCAGTTTAGTATTGTGGACGTACAGCAGCTCTCTGCAGTATTTTGTAGTCCTCCTGCAGATACCAAGGACTGATCCTGCAACCTTCTGCGGGCAAAGCATCTGCTCGACCCCCAGTCATGGCTCCCCCAGTGTAGCCACTGCGCCTCTTTTCAAGGCCGTCCTATATGGCTTGGGTCTGTAACTTGGCACATTACAGGAATTCTACGGCTCAGCTCCATTTTAACACAACATTGCCATTCATGAAAATGCTTCACTCTGTGTGATATTTTGCACCCTGGCTGAGTTCGCCACAGACCTTATCCCCAAGTAGTGGAATAATCCTGTCACTCATTCCGCACATACCATGAAATCAAACCATGCGTCTTGCCAGTGTTTCCCCCCTACTTGTCGGACTGCCTTTTCTTTCTGATTTTTTTCCCTTTGTTGCAGCCCTAAAGCTAGATGACATGCAACACCTTGCTTAAGCTTCAAGAACTGTGCACTGAGGCTTCAAGGATGAGTAGAGTAGAGAAGAAATGTATTCAACTTACCTCTCAACCTCAAGTGGAAACTCATTTTATCAAGGAGGTGAAATGGACAGGGAATTTTTACACCACAACAAGGCTGCACGCTATAGGAACATTCAGCATATCACCACAGGGTGATGTCCAAATCAGACTTAATTAGAAGTTTTTAAAATGTATTTTGAAGAGTCATTTATTAGATGCTTTGACCAGGGAGCAACGCTAACAGTAAAGTGCGTATTTCATCCGTAAAACCTCCAGCTCTCACAATAAGCACAGGAAGAGAACAATCTAGAAAAATTAAAAAGGGAAGTCCATTGTGGATCAGCAAATTAATCAGCCAAGTACTTACCACCAATCCATTTTATTTCTCTGTATTTATTTTTCATCTCTACACCTTCTTTCTTTCTTTATTTGTTCATTTTTAAGTTTTGGTGCCTCTTTTTTTCCTCCAAGGAACTGGCTCCCATAGTCTTTCTCTTCTCCATTTTATCTCTTTGAAATTGTATCCTTTTTGATAAAAGATTAAAAACATTTAGGGTACAATCCCATGCACATTTAGACAGCAAAAAAAGCCTACAACTCCCAGCGTGTCTCAGAAAGTAGAGCTGTAGGCTTTTTACCCATTTAAAGTTATATAGAAGTGCACCTGATAAACACAGAAAATATTACAGCATAAGGATAGTCAGCAACAGAGGTATGTATTTAATTTTAAAATATAAAAACAATTAACTCTCTCTAAATGGAGTCCACAGACATCAGAAAGCCAAACATGTCCTAACAAATCCATGAAGTACTTTATCATGTTTGGAGCCCACAATGATGGGACAAGTGTTCAATTTATACTGGCATCTACTTCGTATCAAACTCAGGCTGTAAGCTCACACACATTGTATATGGATGATGCTTACATCTTGCCTTAGCATTCTTTGTCATTCTCAGTGTCATCTGTTCAGCATTTATTACCCATACAATCCATAACATGTCGGATACCACATTATTAAAGAACCAGCGTCACTGTGTGTAGAAATCATTTCAGGAAGATGAATAATACATTTATAAATGAGGTTGCCTCAAACCAAAGCATAACCTCAGCTGCAGGAGGAGAGAGGAAAGAGAGAAATAAGAAATGCTTGTTGGTTTGGAAAGATTAGACATTATAGATTATGTAGCATGGAAAGGCTGCTGAAAAAGTGTCTCCATATCCCATTGTCCCATGTAGCAATGCTTACCCCATTTTATGGCATCACTCCACCCTCACTAACAGCAGCTAATGACATATAGCCCAACATGATTACTTCCTAACACGGGTAAATGTTGCTACTCCTCAAGGTGGGTGAATTTGACTGGGATGTGTATGTATGCACAATCTGCAGAGATATCCCAGTAGCACTTGTCATGGTCCACCTATGGCTAGCATGATTGAAATAAAAGGAAAACAAAAGGTCTCTTCTGTGACAAGTCCATGCTAAAATTCATTCTACAAACCACAAGGTAAGATGCAAAAATGTTTAAAGCGTCTCATTAGAATAATTCAGAAAATGCTTTCATTTAAACATGGGGAAACATTTTTCATTCCAGAAGATTGGAAAACTAAGCTTAGGGGGCAAAAACTGCAAAAATATATTATTCTGTCCCAGAATACACAGTACTTCTTAAATATTGGTAAGAGTTCAGGCATTTCTGGTTTCGTTTTAATATGTTATGCCAATATGCAGCACACACTGTGTGCATGCAAGGTGAATCCAAAGGAGATGTGTTGACTATGGACGCACTTCTCTTCTGCACAAAAAACTAAAAACTTACCTTGGAAGGAAGAGGAAGATTTTTCTTTCATTTTTTTAATCCCAATAAAACGTTTCCTCCAGCAGGAAAGAAAAAGTTAGAAATTTCCCAGCAACTCGAGATGTTCAAAGATTTTTACCAGAATAGTCCACTCTGTCTCTAGGGCTGGTCACAATCCCACATGCATGCTTCCTGGGAACTGGCAGGAGAGCTACTAAAAGAAAAGTGTTGAGACTTTACCAATGCAGCAGCTACGTTCTCACTATTTACCCAGAGTTTTGGAATAAGGCATCCTCAGTATACAGATGACACCCAGATCTTTCTTCCCATCAAAAGTTAGAGAAGCAGTTGAAATCCTAGACTGGTTTTGGGGGACTGTGATTGGCTGCATCTGAGCCAGCAGTGTGAGAATTAATCCAGACAAAACAAAATGTGCTTTGGGTCAATAGGAAAGCCAGTCTGGGAACGGAGAGTTAGGTTGCTCTGTATGGCTCAAGCACTGCTTTGGAAGGTCCAGGGGTTCTTCAAGATGTGGTCCTGGCCATGGAGGAGCGGGCTGCAGGACATGCAGCTGTGAGCAAGAAGACTCTGCTAGCTCCAGCTGCAGCATCTTCTAGAGTAGCTGAATGTCGCCACTAGCATAATGCTTTGAGTACATCCCGTTGGACCATCATTCCACACATTCCACCTGGGACTGTATTTGAATGGGATGAGGGAATTGCATCTATTTGATAACCCAGTTGCCATCCTATTGGCAGGGGCCCATTTATTCAGAGCATGTCACTCTGGCGCAGTTTAATCTGCATCGGCTTCTTTTAAGTTTTCGAGTCCAAACAAAGTGCCAGCTATTGCTTTTAAAGTTTTTGTTACCTACATGGTTTTGGTCTGGGGTATATGAAAGACTTCCACCTCTCATGCGCCTCTTTCCATTTGCTCTGTCTCACATGCTGCCCCTGCCTCAGGCACGCTTGGTGTGTTAGCTGAACAGGGCCCTTCTTGTGGTGACTCCTGAACTCTGAGACGCCATCCCTCAGAGTCCTCATTTTAATTCTTCTCTTCCCAGCCTTCTGAAAGAATGTTAACACATTTTTGTTGAGATGTTCTGCTTCTGCTTCTGTACCCCTAGAGGTTTGTTAATACTGTTGGTATTTTTAGTGTTTTTAATGGTTTGTTTTTCAACTATTATTGCTACTGCTTACTATGTTGTGAACTGGGATTTGGAGGGGGGTATATGAGGCTGAGAAACAGCATATAACAATTAAGAAATGACCATTATTCAGATATATGACTTATACTCTGGAGTTTGTATACCAAAAACCCCACTGGCTGCTAGTGTCTGTGTTCAGCATTATTGTGTTAGTATCCTTACATAGATCTCTGAGAAATAGTGGTAATTTTTATTTTATTTCTTTATTACATTTCTATATGGCTCATCAGCCAAACTACATAAATGCCATTCTACCCCCTCCTCTGACCAAATGGAGATTTTACTATTCATCTACTCTTTTAAAATCTGCTTAATCATTCCATACAGAAATTTAATTCATTAGGGCGCAATTCTATGGCCAGCAGACAGAGTACAGACCGCCATAATTATAGGCTAATACTCCTAATCATAAACCTCAAGAGGCACTCCAACTTGTCATGTACACAGTGATGACTGTTATTGTTGTTGTTGTTGTTCAGCTGTTCGTTTGTGTCCAACTATAGGCCATCCTATGGGCCAAATCTCACCACATTTATCAATCCCGTGTCACCTCTTTCAGCTGAACTATACTCTGGCCCGTATCTGTTTTGATAACATCTAACCACTTTGCTCTTTGGAAACCTGGTTTTCTCTTGCCACTGAGCATTCCAAGCACTATATCTTTTACCAATGAGCTTGATACCAATGGCCAATAAAGTGGCCAAAATACAAGAGCCTCAGTTTTGTTATCTTGCCAACCAGGGATGCATCTGGTTTAATATGCTCCAGAAGCTGCTTGTTCATGACTCCCGCTGTCCATGGAATGCACAGGAGCCTCCAGCAACACCACAGTTTGAATGAGTCAATTTCCCTCTTGTCTAACCTTTTCATTGTCCAACTGTGACAACTGTAAGGTTGCAATAGGGAAAACGATCACTTGGCCCTATCTCCATTTGGTTGCCAAGCTGATGTTCTTGTTTTTCCACACTTGATTCATGCTTGTCGTTGCCATATGACCTAGTGAAATTCAAGCAGCACAAATGTCACTTGTACATGTGGACTTCACCAAATGGACTACAGAGAAATCAGAAAGACTGTGTCCCTTGCAACCATCGTTGGACTAGTTCAATCTGTGCTGTTAAGACATATTCAGGTCCCAGTTGTGGGCTGAATCATGATGCCGACCCCCGTGTAAACTAAGGAAGTGATCCCTCCCAAATACCAAGGGAGGTGAGGAAGGAGCAGCTGAGAAAGGTTGGAGACAGCCGAGGCTAAAGCAAGAGCATTCCACTAGAACAATGGATGGAGCAGAGGGAGGGAGAATAGACTCTTTATCCAGCAGCATAAAAGTTAGAAACCTGCACTGTTTGGGAAGGTGCTGCATGTAACCTTGGCTTGCTTGTGTGTGTGTAGTCCCCTTTTCTCCTGTAGTACAGCTGCCTCCTTCTGAAGAGTCATCTCAACTGGCTTGTTGTTGGTCAGGCACACAAGGCAAACTCATCACTTTATGAGGTTTCCCAGTTTGGGTAACAGTAGGATATTTGGGAGTCCCAGCTCCAGCTTTGGAAACTAATATTAGTCTTCTAGCTGCCAAAGAGGTTCATTTGTACTGACCTTACATTAAATTCCAAGAGGCAGGCAGTTAATTAAAACATGAATGTCTGTAAATATTGAAGAACTTTGCATGACAACATTTCCAAATTCAGAAATATCCTTTGAGGTCAGAGCTAGGACTCAAAGTTCTTCCTGCCAGCATGGAAGGAACCTTGCTGGCTAAAACTCCAAGGTCATAAAAGGGGGAGAGACAAGCTCAGCCTCCCGGATCAAAGTATTCGTGTAGCACCTTCTCCTCCTTCCCTCACACTCCAAGGCAAAGTACTTAGTACATTGAAATGGGCCACCCAAGTGTTTTCAGGGCAGGAGGACCACCTCTGAGCTCCTTCCACCCTCCAAGAACGCCCATAATCCCCCACGTTCAGAGGACCGTGCTATCCATGTTCTTCTAAGTAACAATCACTATATTGCATGAGGTAGATACCTGCTCCATTCCTTCCTGCATTTAGTGCCTCTAATACAGATTCACCTGGGACAGGTGGTATAAGAAAAAGGACAGGTTGTGGCTTCCCACAGGTCTTTCCAATGTTGGAAGTGTGGCACAATAAGGGGAAAGTGCATTGCTGAAGAGACAGCTGAGAAAAAAAACACTGGATTCCTTGTTCGGCTCCCTCCTCCACATCTATCAATACTTTCTTACCTTGGTTCCAAGGATATATGTTTTCCTCTACCAGCAGCTCAAATCACAAAGTAATATGACTGTTCATCTCTACCTTGCCACTTATTTTCATCCTTCTGCCTACCTGCTTGGCAAAGAAATTGAATTGTTATGCTATAGTTTAATCACATATTTTACCCCACTATCCGCACCACCCCCACCCCCACCCTGAAACAAGCAATATTAAAGACCTGGTGCAGTGAGGGCCAATTAGAATACAAATAGCAAATAACTGTACATTGTGCGTGGTCTCTTGTCTCCCTCTAGTGGCAGAATGTAGTACCTACAATAGTCTGCTGAACATGGAATCAATCCTGCCATTCATGAAGCTGAATACAGTTCATTAGAACTACATTCATACTGGATACATCCTCCTTTCTGGTCAGGCAGTGGCCCTCCATGGTTTAAAGTTATGCCAAACAGGGCTGCTAAACTGATATTATTAATCTCAGAGTCTATCTCTGTTGCTCATATCATCTCCTTTGAAATGTTTATTTTGGGGAAAGATAGAAATGGATGGGCTGTATCGGTGCCAGATCATAGGGCAATATAGAGTGCCCAGGAGCTGCAGTGAAATTCCAGGCAGGGTAGCTACCTAAGGGTGCAATTTTAGACTGAAACTAGACATGTTTAGACTGAAAAAAATGCCTACAGTTCCCAGCATGCTGCAATCCATAGGACGTTTTCAGTCTAAACATGCATAGCATTGTGGCCCACATTACATGGTACAGATCTGGTGGAGAACGAATATGAAGAAGGAAGCAAGGCATGTCAGGGCACAGTTTACTGCTGCCCAGAAAGCCATAGGTCCTGGCCCAAGTAGCAACCCTGCCGCCGTGAAATAAGTAATTAAGGCTAAATGGTAACTCATGCTTAAGGATATTTATGGAAATTTATTTTATTAATCTTGGTAAATTTGTTGAAGTGAATCAGAAGCAGTGTTAGAACAGGACAAGCAAGCATGAGCTGTTACCCAGGCCCTTCTCTAGAACAAGAAGTGTGCAATTAAACTAGGACCTGCCATTCAAGAGAGATTAGTCCTTTCCTATAAGCATAAATCCATGTGCTGCCCAGGTTGTTCCTAGACAGACTGCTCCCACCATTTCCCATCAGAAGGCATGATCCAGCTGCTCCACCTTTCCATCCCGGATGATTTTCTGGGTAAGAAAAAAACATAGGAAAGGCAGTGGGAAGATGAGGAAGGGTTACAAATGAAGAGGATGATGTAAAGTCTGTGAAGGGAGATGACATTCACAGGGGCTGTGTCCATCTTGCAGCTCCCAGACATTTGGAGGTTGTAATCCGTGGCTTGCAGCTCTGAAACAAACATTTTGCCACCTGAGAAAGAGGACAAGATGGCTCTTTTTTCATTCCAGGTACAGAAACTGATGGGACTGACAGCTGGATCTTATTCCAAAGGTGGAGAGAGGAAAGTCTCCTCCACTGCTAGGGCCAGGCCACCCATGAAGCAGTGTGAGGCACCCCTATGAAGCCTGGACATGAAGTGGGGTGACCATGCCACTCCTTTGCCTTCAGCCCAGCCCCAGCCTGGACACCCCATCACCCCCTCCAGTGATGCTCTAGGGAGCCCCACCAGTCACTTTTCCACTGTGGCACTTGCTCTAGGAGAAATCAAGAGCCTGTGCTTAGCTGTGAAAAATCTAAGCTCCTTACATCCAGAGGTCATCAGCATGGGAGGAGGAGGACATTGTCAGTTTACAACTCCACTTTCTGCCCCATATCAAAAGGATACAAGGCTCTCCAGCTTGGTGTGATTCTTCATGTTGCAGCTCTTTACCACTCAGAGATGCACATGTACTTCCTACCTATTATGCAAAAGAAGAAAGAGCAAATGAATCTTTCATGGATTCCCACCATGCACTTTCCTGCAAAAAGCACTGTAATGTGGCATTTATTCAGCCATCTCTGAATGAGCAAAAACTGATGTGTGTGGAGATCCGGTGGTTGCCTAATATGAGATCTGAGGCGGATCCTTTTGGCTCTCACCATTGCCTCTTTTTGAAAATTAATGAATCAAGGCTGGAAGATCAAAGGAAATGATGTTCAGTCCTACACTAATTAACCTTCCCAGCAACAGAGGGGTGGGGGAGAGGACGTCTCTCCACAATACTGCACTCGGCAGGAAAGCCTGCACTCAGCAATTAGAACAATTTTCAACTCTGCCACTGATTACTCTGTCATATTCAAAGAAGGGCAGATCATGCTCTGCCCAGGGCTTCATCCATATAATGCATGAAAGGCAGAAAGTGAAGATCTGATGGCTCCCTCCCTTACATAGCAAGGGAGTTGCCAAAATGCCTACACAGTTCCCTAAGACGCAAGATTGATAGCCACTCACCCTGCAAAAATGCCTGAGACGCAATCACAGGCTTACTAATTTTGTGATTGTGCACATTTTAACAAAACCGATCGATATATCGTGATTTGTATGATATACAACCTTCAGAATTCCGGCTGAAATATCTATGGACAGAGAACTTAAAATATGAGAGGGCCAGAAGTGGGATTCTATCCTCCTCTGCAGATAGAGCAACACCCAGTTTATCAGGAAAGCTGCTGAGTATGAATAAGAGTTGCTGCCTATTCTTTGCTCTGAGGAAAGAGATGATGGAGCTGTTGGAAATGGTTCCATCACTGATGCAAGCATCTATTATGTATTTGCAGCATGGGGGACTCCTGCTCGCTCTTCAATCAGGCAGCAATGTCCTTCTCCCCAGTATTTCATTCCACTCCCTCTTCTACCTGGTTTCCGGGTGGGGGTCCCCCAGCAATCACTCAGCATTCTGTGGCCATTGAACGTGTTCAGACTTCACTGGGTTGAGGATTTTTATTCCTGCTCAGGGCTTTTCACCTGAAAAGGGGCACTTCTGAACGCCTGCAGGGCTCCCCTGGATCTTCTGATTCTCCAATACCACCTGCTGTTTATAGGTGGTATAGCTTTGGTTATAATAAACAGTTGCACCTAAGGTATTAACCTTAGATGTCAGAAATACAATCATTGGGCATAATTTTATTGTTGCATATATTGGCTTTATTTTGGTTTTAATATTAAATGTCATGCCACGCTGAGTTTTTGAAAGGGTAGGATAGAACACTTTTAAGCAAACTGGACAGCTATCTGAGAGGGATGGTTTAATTTGGTGTCCTGCCAGGGTAGGACCCGTTGGTCTTCTGGCCCCTTCCAACTCTACTATTCAATAATTCTTTGAAACAAACAAATGAATAGGATGCAGCAGTTGCCGCTGAAAAGCAAGAAACAACAACCTTCCACTGTGCAAAAGCATGTGCCTAAATCAGCCTCCCCCAACCTGGTGGCCTTCAGAGGCATTTGGACCACAACTCCCAGAATTCTCAACCAACAGAACCACTGAGTGGGAATTCTGGGTGTTGCAGTACAAATGTGCCTGGAAGGCACAAGTTTGAGGAAGGCTGGCCTAAATAAAGGCTGGTCCAGCACTGTTCACGGCCGGAGGGGAGGGGAGGGGGGGTCGCTTTGGTTTACCGGGCCTCCATCACTCTCACGGGACTTCCTGTCCCTTCGAGACCAGGGCTGGAGTGTCTCTACTTGGTGTTGGGCGACCGAGACAGATTGGGGATTCTGTTGGTGTACCGTGCACCCTTCTGCCCAACAGTCTCCCTGCCTGAGCTGACGGAAACGGTCTCGGACCTGGTGTTGAGGACCCCCAGGATGCTGGTCCTGGGGGACTTCAATATCCATGCCGAGGCTAGTTTGACCGGGGCGGCTCAGGACTTCATGGCTTCCATGACGGCCATGGGGCTGTCTCAACATGTCATCGGCCCGACCCATGAACGTGGACACACTCTGGACCTGGTTTTCTCGACGGGGCAGGAAGAGGGTGGTCTGAGGGTGAGGAATTTATGCTTGACTCCCCTGTCATGGTCAGATCACTTCCTAGTGAGGTTTGTGCTCGAGAGCGACATCTCCCTCTGTAAGGGTGCAGACCCGATTGTGTGGGTCCGCCCCCGGAGCCGGATGGATCCGGAAGGATTCCTGAAGGCTCTGGGGGAGTTTCCGGCTGACAAGACGGGTGCTCCTGTCGAGGCTCTGGTTGAACTGTGGAATGGGGAGATGACCAGGGCTGTAGACACGATTGCTCCTAAGCGTCCTCTCCCACCGGGCAGAGCCCGCTCTTCCCCTTGGTACACTCCAGAATTGAGGGCAATGAAGCAGGTTGGGAGACGGCTAGAGCGTAGGTGGAGGAAATCACGTGATGAATCTGACCGAACACACTTAAGAGCCCACTATCGGGCCTATGCTGTGGCGGTGAGGGCGGCGAAAAAGAGACACTTCTCCGCTTCCATTGCCTCCTCACAATGCCGTCCGGCGGAGCTCTTTCGAGTGGTGCAAGGCCTGGTTCACCCAGGGCCAAAGGAAGAGCTGATTCCACCCTCAAAGGCCCGCTGTGACGACTTTGCCGAGCATTTTAGGGAGAAAATCGCTCAGATTCGTCACGAGCTGGATTCCACTATTGATTCAGAGGTTTTAAGGGAGACACCAACGCTGCCGTCTGGTCCAGAATTATTGGATGAATTTCAGTTATTGCGGCCCGATGATGTGGACAAGGTGCTTGGACGAGTACGTCCTACCACTTGCCTTCTGGACCCTTGCCCGTCTTGGTTAATAAAGGATTCCAAGCACGGGATTGGAACCTGGATCTTGGAAGTGGTTAACGCTTCTCTGAGGGAGGGTCGGGTGCCTGCCCCTTTAAAGGAGGCGGTAGTCCGACCGGTCCTGAAGAAGGCGTCACTGGATCCAGGGATGGCCGCTAACTATAGACCAGTGGCCAACATCCCGTTTCTGGGCAAGGTGTTAGAGCGAGTGGTGGCGGGACAACTCCAAGCACTCTTGGATGAAACTGATTATCTGGACCCATTTCAGTCCGGCTTCAGACCCGGGTACGGTACTGAATCTGCCTTGGTCGCCCTGTACGATGACCTGTGCAGGGAGAAGGACAGGGGGAGTGCGTCCCTGTTGGTTCTCCTGGACCTCTCAGCGGCTTTCGATACCATCGACCATGGTATCCTTCTGGATAGGCTGGCGGGATTGGGGGTCGGAGGCACCGCTTTGCGGTGGTTCCGCTCCTATCTCAACGACCGATTCCAGAAGGTGGTGTTGGGGGACTATGGCTCTGCGCCATGGCAGCTTTGCCATGGGGTACCGCAGGGTTCCATTTTGTCCCCTTTACTGTTCAATATCTACATGAAACCGCTGGGAGAGGTCATCAGGAGGTGTGGGCTGCGGACCCATCAGTATGCTGATGATACCCAGCTCTACCTCTCGTTTTCCACCAATCCAGGTGAGGCAGTGGCTGTACTGAACCGGTGCCTGGCCGAGGTAATGGGCTGGATGAGGGCCAATAAACTGAAGCTCAATCCAGACAAGACGGAGGTCCTGTTGGTTGGCGGTTCGGGCTTCGGAGAAGGTGACCTGAACCTTGTCCTGAATGGGGTTGCACTCCCTCCTAGGGACAAGGTCCGCAGCTTGGGAGTGCTCCTCGACCCGGAGCTTTCACTTGAAGCTCAGGTGACAACAGCGGCGAGGAGCGCTTTCCTCCAGCTTCGGCTGATTCATCAGCTGCGCCCCTACCTGGAGTACGACTGCCTTGCAACAGTGACTCATGCGCTGGTGACTTCCCGTCTTGACTTCTGTAACGCGCTCTACGTGGGGCTACCCTTGAAGACGGTCCGGATACTTCAATTGGTTCAGAATAGAGCTGCCAGGCTGCTGACGGGGACTGGACGTTATGTTCACATGACGCCAGTTCTCCGTCAGCTTCACTGGCTCCCCATTGAAGTCCGGGCCCAATTCAAGGTGTTGGTAATGACCTATAAAGCCCTAAACGGCTTGGGTCCTGGTTACCTGAAGGAGCGCTTACATCCATATTTGCCCAGTCGCCCCCTGAGATCGGCGGGAGAGGCCCTTCTCCGGGAGCCCTCCGTGAGAGAAATTAGGAGGGTGGTTACTCGGAGAAGGGCTTTCTCAGCGGTGGCGCCTAAGTTATGGAATGCGCTCCCCAGAGAGGTCCGCCTGGCGCCGTCGTTATTTGTTTTTCGGCGCCAGGCTAAGACCTTTTTATTTAAGCAACATTTTAAATGCTAAATACAATTGAATTTTATCTGGCCAGGGCGGCTTATTTTATAATGTGAGTTTTAATCAAGATTATTTTATATGGATTTTAACTTGTTTTATCTATGTTGTAAGCCGCCCCGAGGCTTCGGCGAATGGGGCGGCATAAAAATGTTTTAATAAATAAATAAAATAATAAATAAATAAACCTGCATGAGGAGGAGGAGCAGCAGGTGCTACTGCCTACCTGCATGCTGGCTTTATGCTCATTAAGGTGCAATCCTCTGGCTACTAGGTGCTGTCTAGTCAGCTCTAGAACACTGGCAGCCCCAGCTCCAGCCTTGGAACAGCACCCCAAGCTCAGAACTGGGCTCTGATTTGGAATGCCCTCCCTCACAGCCAGCATGGTTCCTGCGCCAGCCGTAGCCTCTCCCAGTCTCCACCATCCTCATCTGATGAGTTGGTGCCACCCTGACCTTGGAAAGCACACCAAGAGTAACTACCTTGTCCATTCCCAACACCTGGCATGCTCTCCAAGGACCATGGCATCACGCTCTTACTAAATAATACTTAGATCGCAATGCTATGTTCACTGGGGACACATTCTAAAAGCCCTAGAATGGGAGAGCCACCCTGCCCAGGCCATAGACAGGGCTCTAGTTTCTGAGATCTTCGCATGATGGAGAAGGAGGGAGGGCAGGGGCAGGAAAGGGGAGA